CTCTGGGCATGGAAAGTTCGATTGTTTACCTCATTCCTCACCTGTAAAATGTAAATAATAAATAGTACTTGCCATGTCTACTTCAAGGAATTATAATAAAAGTCATGCGAAAATGTATTTGTGTACTCTTTCAAAATTTATGTGGCAGTTATTCTATGATCACCTCTGTATCAGTCTGAGTTCAATCAGGAGGGAAAAAGCACATGATCATTTGAATTAGGGAAGTTTAGGATAAATAATTATTAATGATAACAGGAGATTGAATAATGAGGGTTTAGCTAGCAAGGAGTAAAGAGAACTCTAAATACTATAGATATAGCAGGTATATAATAGTAGATATGATAGCCACTACCCCCTTACTCTCTGCCCTTAGCTGAGATACAGACCTTCTTGGAGAGAATGCAGCAAGTGGAGACTCACTCTATGGCAAGAAAGATGCTGTAGTGCCTTAGAGGCAAAACTTGCCGAAACTCCAACCTCTGGAAATTACTGGAACTCTGCATTCTAGGACTTGCTGGAAACCCCTCCTCTGGAATTGGCCTGCTAGGGTGCCTGAGAAGGATGTTCATAGGGAAATGTTTCAGCAGAGGAACTTTACCACAAAAACCACAAGAGGGAAGGTGCCAGGGGAAGCTGCCTGGTGCTACTGAAACTGCAACACAGAAGCCAGCTGCTGGAGAGAGCTGCACAAGCTGCAGGTACACCCGACCCAGTAAGCCAGCCAGAAGCAGGGAGCAAAACCTTCTCTTTCTGTACCGTCTTACCAATGCCCTCTTCTGGAAAAGCTTCAGTGCCAGCTGACAAAAGGAAAAGTACTTAAATGGCTCAGATCCATATTCACAGAGCAGTCAACAATGGTGAATTTGGAGATAATAAGCAACAAATTGATGAACTGGCACAACTTCCCTGCTGCTTTCTTGATTGTAATGCCTAGATAGGGAATAGAAAAGTTACTGAAACGTGTATGTTCCCATGAAATGTGTCTATTTGTTGTTCAAGATCAATATTAATAAATGAAGACTAATGCTTTGAAGTATTTTGTAACAATTAGAATCACCACTCTTAACCCTGTGGCCAAAGTCTTAATTGGACAGGGAGGAAAATTTTTATAAACTGAAGCGAAAATTGATTTACATAGAAAATAAATCTGGAATGTTTATTGGTAGGTATCCTAGATTACTTGGTAGGTATACTAGATTCCTAGGACTGTCATAACAAGTTATTACAAACTAGGTAACTTAAAACAACAGAAATTTGTTCTCTCACAGTTCTGGAGGCCAGAAGTTCAAAATCGAGGTGTTTGCCAAGGCCATATTCTAAGGTAGAATCCTTCTTTGTTTTTTCCATCTTCTGGTGGCTCCTGGCATTCCTTGGTTTGTGAGAGCATAATTCTGATGTCTGCCTCCACCTTCATGTGGCCTTTCTTATGACATGTCAAATCT